TGCCAAGTATGCCAGAATAAAGTAAAAAAGATGCAAGCATACTTGGCAGTATGCAAGAGGCAAAAAAATCTCTGAAAGGGAATTCAAAAAGTAACTATTGCAACAGTATGAAAGAAATTAAAAGAAGAAGAAAAGATTCAGATTCCCTTATACATTTTATATATAGTGCTTTTTGGAAAAACAGAGACAAAGGAAGTTAAAATAAGAGAAGTACTAATGAAAGACCTAATTCTAAAAGAAATACAAGACAAACTAGCAAAGCTATTAAACACAAGATCAAGATAGCAGTTTGCAAACACAGTAGCAATAATGGCCTGAGACATATTCTACAAACAAGTATAGAGAATACATTGTGAGAAAATTATTGAATAAAAGAAAAAAGTAGGAATAACAGGGAAAAGTAAAAGGAAAAAAGATGAAAGTTCAAAGAAACCAGAAAAACAAAAAAAGGCAGATTAAGAAAAAATAGAAAAAAAAAAGAAATAAGAGAAAAAGAAAAACAAGTTGAGAAAGAAGTAATGAAGACAATTTTGGAGCTTGTTATAAAAGAGAGAAGACCCTTTTATTATAGACTTTAAGTAGTCAGACAAGTAGCTTACTTCTGTTCAAAGTAATATGACAGGTTGCACTTAGATACTATTAAGGTAGCCAGGTGATGCTAGACTTAGATATTAGAGATATGTATATAGTTACAAATGTAATTTCAAAAATTCAATAAAGTACTAGCATGACTGCTTATAGAAAAAAAAAAAATAAAAAAAATAAACTTAATCTAAAATGAATAATTTAACTAGTAAGTTATATAAAGTTAAAAACTATATATTTAAATATTATGAGTTCTATATTATAAGACCAAAGACCTGAGACATTATATGATAAACTTAATAGAATATAAATTATCTTATTAGTATAATAATATACAAAGTTTACTTTAGCATTTTGTAAATCTTTGTAATAATAATAATATTAGTCTTAGTAAATAAAAAACTCTAAAATATCTAAAAACCTTCTAAATACAAAAACAAATATAAGTTAAAGGCATGGCCTTATCACTAATATTTTTAAAAAAAAAAAAAAACAAATATTAAAAACTTTTATTTTGTTTTTTTTTAATATTAAGATAAATATTTATAACAGAATTTTATTAATAATATGTTTTAGCTAATAGTTGTATTACAACTATAAGATTAATTATAGTAAAAATATATAACTAAATACTTGTATAACTTTAGTTATTATCTAATATAAATAGTTTATCTAAAGGTTTATATTAGTTATATATCTAGAATCTGCTTATAGATTCTTTATTTAAATATTTTAGTTTTTAAATTTACTTATTTACTTATCTTATTAACTGTTTTAGTCATTACTAGTATAAGTATATTATAATTACAAAATTTTTAAAGCAGTTTATTTATGTAAAAAATTTTTAACTTTGTACTAAATTTATTAGTTTTTTGTATTTTATATTTACAGTTAATCTAATATTTTTATGATCAAAATTAATATTTGTTTTTAATTTAAGCAATTATATTAGAATTTTTAAAACTATACAAATTTCAGAAAATTTTTCTAATATTTAAGTTTAATATTACTTGACTATCTTATTGGTATCTAAGTATAATTTGTTACATTACACCAAACAGAGGTAGACTGTTTGTCTAACTGCTATTTTACAATAAGATATTACCAATCTGATAATATCTTCTTGTAAAAAAACAAAAAAATAAAAAAAAATTTTATATATAAAAAAAAACAGAGATATAGAGATAAATAGTAAAAAATACAAAATAAGAAATAAAGAAAGAAAGAAGATAAATAAAAAAAAAGAAAGTATAAAACTTGCAATTTACAAAAAATTAAACAGTCATAATTTTAAACCTGTATTGGCATAAAACTTAAAATTTATAGATATTATACAATTACAATTATAAGTCTATATTGGGCTTTTAAAAATTATAAACTATACTAAAAAGAAATTATTCTATTATTTTTTTATTTATTTGGATTATTTAACAAAAAACTAAAAAACTTTAACTTTATCATAGATGGTTGGCATAGGATACTAGTTAGTCTAAGAGCAGTATTTAATAGGTTTTTAGCAGTTTGAGACATATGTATAGATAGATATGTTTGTATTACTGTATTATTTCTAATCTATGTTGTAATAATTTCATTTAAGAAGTAAACACTACTAACTGTTTTGGTAACTTTATATATCAATTTTTAGAAAGGAGTAAACTAAATCACTCACTTTTACAAATTTTTTTTTGAAAAAAAATAGAAATGTTAAATAAACCAACTTTTTAGTTTTTGTGAGTTCTTAATTCTTATAAGTGTTTTTTATAAGTTTTACAATTGTATAGAACTAATATATCTAATTTTGTTATTTATTTTATAAAAAATCTTGGCTTTTACTAACTATTTCTTCTATAGTTCTAAAGTATTCTTTAAACTATTAGCACAAAGCTGCAACTTTTTTTCAACTTTATTTCAATGTTCAACTATGTGTATATAGTACTCCAAAAAGATTTTTTATAAAGTTTAATATATTAATTATATTATTTTTCTGTAGTTTAGTTTTTTAAAAAGTTTGGTTTGAATAATCATTAAAAAGAATTAGCAATATCAAAATTAATATTTATAATTAGAACTAATTATTAAATTACTATATTTTTGTAAAGTTTATTTAAATTCTAGTATTTATCTTTTCAATATCTTTTTATTATTTTTTACTAACTATTATTTAGAACTAATAGACTTTTCAGACTATTAATTCAGATGATCTAGTATAATATACTTCTATATTTTTTTTTAATAATTTTAACAGTCTAATTAGTTATATGCTTCTTTTATATACTTTGTTATTTAGTTTATTTGTCTATTTTTATAAGAATAATTTATAAACTTTTATCAATTCAACAGTATTATTAAATGTTTGTGTTATTTCTTTATTTAGAAATTTTTAAATAAACTTCTAACTTCTTAGTTTTTTAATCTTTTGTATTTGGTAGTTTTATTATGAGTTTGCACTAAAGTCTTATGCAATATTAGTTTTAATATTTTTCTATATATATATAATATTACACTTCATATAAATGCTCTCAACTTCTAATAATAAGTAAGACCTGACTTGATATATCTAAGGTTACAAATATATGAATTTAACTAATCAACAAGACATTTGCTATAATACAGATTAATTTTTCAAAATTTTGACATTTATAAGATTTGAATACTAGACCTGCTACTTGGAAGTTAATAATCTGTTTATTTTACTAAGTCACTATACACCTTATTAAAAACTTTGTTTGAAAATCAAAATATAATTTTATAATAAATTTTAAATTATTAAGATTTTTTGAAATTTTTTTTAATATTATATTAGTTATACATAGTTTAATAATTTAATTAGTTTTATACAATTAAGTAATATTATCTAAAGTAAAAATCAACAACAGTCTATTTTTTAAATTCATTAAAAAACAGTTTACAGTTAAAGAACATAAAATACAATAATTATTTTATTATAACTTTTCTATAATAATAGAATGCCAACAATAAAAAAACCATATAGTAAAAAAGAAAAATCTTAATATCTTGCGATTTACATGACTGATTTTAGTAATTTTATTATTATTAGGATTGTAATAACATGTTTTACAATTTTATTTTTTTATTTTTTGGTGTTAAGGTTGTTTTACAATTTTAATTAAAGATTTTTAAAAAATATTTATTTAATAAAAAAAAACTTTTTATTGTAATAAATTCGCATTTCAATACTATAAAAAAATTATAATAAGTTCTGACTATGATACATAGTAACGAATTACCTCTTAAAATATTTTTTATATATTTTTGTTTTAAGTATTTTTATTTGTATACTAATATATAAAACAGGTATCTATATAACTTGCAATTTTACTAATAAAACATTCTTTGGGGCTCTAACAAAACAAGAACTCCGTGAAATTTTAGTATAAAATGTTCTCTTAAACACTAAACTTAATCCAGCTTTAAGCAATTTCTTTAATTTTGTGTTACACGGATTTACACATACGTATACTAATACACTAGTATATGTTTAGAAATTTTCTTTTGTTTTATACGTATTATAATTAACCTATTTTTTCTCAATAATGTCAAAATCCGACAAGTTAGCCCGTATTATGTTAGAGTTAATGTTAGTTCCGGTCAATTTTTGTTGGAAAATGATTGCGATTTTGGTTTGTTCCACGTGATTGACGATTATTGCTAAGCTTTTACGTGTTAATTCAATTTAATTTTACATAATTTATACAGTTTAGAATACTTTTTAAAAATACCATAATAAAGTAAAAAAAAAACCATATAGAAGATTTCATTAGAGCTATAGGACTCCATAGTCAAAAAATACGATCTAATTCTCGTCCGTTTAAAAAATTAACTTAGTAATACTGTAATAACAGAAAGTGAAGTCATACTATACTAACGTTTTAAACGGCCGAGAATTAGATCTTATTTTTGGCTATGGAGTCTTACAACTTTAATGAAACCTTCTATACAGCTTTTTTTATTTCATTATGATTAGGTTTGTTTTTTTAAAAAAAAGTACTCTAAACTGTATAAATAATGTAAAATTAAATTGAATTTATTAGCCAAACAGACAAATTTCTGCCTATGAGTTAAAATGTAATTTTTCAAAATTGTAATATATCATAATAAAAATGAAATTTAGAATTTATTTTTAAGCCTCCAAAACCCACTTGTATGTGTATTCTTTTAATAAAAATCCTAACCTTAATCCTAACCAAACTCTAAAAAAATGTATTGTACCCTCAAAAAATTTTACCGTGATGCGTGAATTTCTAATTAAAATAAAGAGAATTTTTTATTTTAATCCTGCTATATTAATTATAAACTTATTTAGATAACCGAATTAATAATAACTTTTGTAAACAAAAAAAGAATTACATATTATATGTATAAAAAATATAAATACTAAAAATATTTAAACAAAATCATTTTTTTAAGGTATTATTAAGCATTGCAGTCTTTGACACTTTATACAAATTTTCTTCAATGGCAAACATAATTTCGTCAATTATTTGTTTGAAATTAACTTTTTGTTTTTCTAAAACAATTTTTTGACTCGTTTTTGAGATTGGTGACATTGGTAATTTAGCATCCAAATTTTCATCATGAGTTTGTAGATCTTTAAATGGATATCCGAGACTTTGAAGTGTGGTATTTTGACGGGATATTAAAACCTGATGTAAGGACACATATCCTTCAATCCCGATCTATTAAATTATTTAGATGATTTAGATGATTTAGATTAGTAAAATATCTACGTTTCAAATCACAATCAAATCACAATCAAATCATAATCAAATCATAATCAAATCATAATCAAATCATAACGATAAGCAAATCAAAATCAAATCATAACGATAAGCAAATCAAAATCAAATCATAATCAAATCATAATCAAATCAAATCAAATCAAAATCAAATAATAATCAAATAATAATCAAATCATATGCAAAAAAATATTACCTCATTTTTGTCGATTTGTAAATTTTTCAGCGATACATTTCCTTTTAAAGCTTCGCTTAAAGATTTCATGCCTTGATCACCAATAATATTTCCTTCAATATTCAACTTTTCCAATTGAGTATTCTCCTCTAATCCCAATAATTGCGAACCTAAAAAGGGACCCCATTTTCGATCTGAATTACCACTTAAATTTAAATCGAAAATATTTTTGTTTACTCTAAACAACCTTCCAATAACATCACAAGCTTTTTTAATAGTCATCGTCATTTGAGGATTTTGAGTAAATGTTTCATTAACATTAAATATAAATTGAGGATTTGATAAATCTAAATATTTTATAACAGTATTTTCACAAAATGATGATAGAATTTCAACCAATTGTTCAGGATTCGAACCTATTAAAGAGTTTTCTAATGATAACCAAACAGGAGTCCAATCATTACGTACAGCATAACAAAATTCTTTACAACTAGCAGGTGTTCTCGTTATGAAATTTCCTCCCGCCCAAACTTTAATATTTTCATGATTTGGTGATGTGGTAACATAAGAAAGTATTAAAGCTAATGCTTCACCATCTAAATTACAATGATCAATTCTAAAGTATTTAACTTTAGCAAATGCAGGAGATCTAATATATGCGTATAATGAAAGTAAATGTGATTTATTGTTCAATGGAATACCACCAAAATCTAATGTCGTGAGTCTTGTTTCACTTAAAGTTTCTAATGAAATTATTGATCTTGATCCAATAAAAAGTTTTAAACAATTACGTAAATATAATGAACGTAAATTTTCAGATTTTGAAAGTAATTCTATTAAAATGTTTTCATCAATATCACATGAATTATGAGAAATATTTAATGATTCGAGATCTTTTGGTTGTTTTGACCTAAGTGCTTGAAGTATTGATATTAAACCATCAAAATTTAATTTACAATTTGAAATATCAAGTTCTTTAATTGAAATCGTATGATTCCTTATTCCATTTGCTAATATTTGAGCACTTTCTCTTGATATAGAACTATCACCTAATATTAATCGTTCCAATTTAGCCTTTCCGGTGAATAGGGCATTTCCAATTGCGGATATAGTTTCACTTGTGATCCCACATGATTTTAAGTTTAATGATTTTAATCTAGAACTTGATATTATTAAATCATGTAATACAGTTGCAAGCATATTATAACCTTCATTATTTGAAAAATTTTGTTGAATTTGAAGTTCAAATAGATTGATATTACTTAAAATAACTTCGGAAAGTAATGGATGATTTTTTAATGAATTAAATATGGCCAATAATTCATTTGTTGTATAAATTCCATTTTTTTCATCTTTTGGAGGAAGTAATATGAATCTAAATGGTAAATTATCAACATCTAAACCAAGTTGAACATTTTCAGAATCAAGAACGTATTCGACTTGAAAGGATATTCTAGATTTAGAGATGCTTAATACATGACATTGAGCTTCGATCATTCTTTCTACACCAACCTCTTGAGAAATTTTTCCAATTGGAGAAGTTAAAGAAGAATCAGGAGAAATTGGAGTTGAAGGATTTGATTTAGAAGAAGGGGTTGACCACCAAAAAGTGATTGAATCGATAACAGATTTAATTTCATTAGTGATAGTTTCACTTAATAATGAAGAAATAATGATAGAACGTTTTGAAGAATTAATATTATTTTTAAAATTTATCAAAATAGTATCATCAAGATTATTTGAACGAATATCAGTGATACATAATAAAGGATATTTATATTTCCAGAAATCTATTTCTTTTATTAAATTAGAATTTTTTTTAGAATTGATCTTAAAATCATTACTTTTACGATTATCCTCACTTGGAGTTCCATCATTTTTTAAATTACTTGGAATTATATAAAAATTATTTTTTCCTAATATCAATAGTACGGGAGTTTTAGGATCTTTTTCGGATTGACCATCTTGATCTTCATCGGATAAAGATTTAAGTAAAACTCTATAAGCCAGTAATTTATTTTCATTTACATCAGCCAAATCAACCAATAAATTTAATTTGTTCATTATCCAAATTCGTTGATCATGAGTCAATAAAGGACCTCTTGGATTAGAATTGTGAACAGCGGAACGTAAAACGGTGAGCCATTGACGATGTTTTTGAAGATCAGGAGCAATTATAGAGACAGTAACTTGTTTTTTTAAGGAAGACATATAATATATTCTAATATGAGGTTCAGGAGTAAGTTGTTCGGTAATGGCAAAAACAGTAGGTAGACAAAGAATAATATTTTCAGCAGGTAAAGTTCTTGTAGTTGAATCTGATATAGAAGAACTATTTAAAGAACTATTACTACTATCAGCACTTAATTTTCTTGGTAAGGTACAAAGAGGTAAGCCATCAAAAATTTTAGCAGCTTTATCGGCGGTTTTAAAAGCGCATAAACAATTTCTTGTTAAAATAAAATATTTATTTGAAGTTTTTTTAAGAGTAGAGGAAGATGACCATTTTGCAACTTTAGATTCAAATAGAATTGGATCGTTTACACCAGGAGGAGAAATGTTCATTTCACTTAAATTCTTGAGATGTTTTGAATTTCTCGGACGATTTAAAGCATCTTTTAAAGAAGAAAGATTTATTTTTCCGAGAGAGACAGATCTTGGAGAAGTAGGGGAGATGATAGGTTTTGGGGTGAGAGGTATAATTTCCTTGACATCTTTAAAGGTATCACGTTGAATGTCAATATATTCACTAGCATAAGAAGAAATCAATGAGAGTATTGAAGAATTATGAGTAGAATTATAATCATCATTATCATCATCATAACTATCGTCATCACTATCACTTTGTTCTTGTATTTGAGCTAAAAGTAATCGTTGTTGTTCTTCCATTCTTTGACGGTCTTCCTGTGACATTGTTGAAGAAAATTCTTTTTTTATGGATGAATATTTATCTTCTAGATCTCCTACACCGATATCATTCATATTTACGTCATCCTTGTGGCCTATATGGCTTCCAGAAGTTGATTTATTCATGTTGTTTACTTGTAAGGCCGTCATATAGAATTTTTTTTTTTTTTTTTTTTTTTTTTACAAAATTATAGTTGAAATTTTTTTTTTTTTTTTTTTTATACAAAGGTAGAAATTTTACCGTTCCTTTTTGTTAGAAAAAAGTGGGGAATTTCATATATAAATAAATACATATAAATATATTTGATATTATGCAAACATGCATGTGAAGGTGAATTATACATGGTAACAATGACATCAAAAATCTCTAAAACTACGTACTCTGCAGTCGAATTCAGAACAAAGACGATACTGGCCAAAATAGGAAATTTGTAACTACGTTGCTCTGAATTTTTAACATTATAAAGTTTCGAATTTAAGAAAAAAAAAAAAATTTTTTTTTTGTTTTTTTTTCTTTTTTTTTTTTTAGGATAACTCTTGGCTTATTTAGAATTGGAATGTTTACGTGTAACATAGGATTAATTTTATTACCTTTTAATGTTTATTGTTGATTATGTTTATGTACATAATTTTTGATATCAATTAAATTATGCAATGCAATTTATACTAAGAACCTTCGAAGAAACCGTTTTATTTTTTATGTGAACACTTTCTGTATTTGTATGAATTTATAAATATAAATAAATATATATATATATAATACATATATATACTATATATTATTTATATATATATATATATATATATATAATACATATATATACTATATATTATTTATATATATATATATATATATATATATATATATATTGGGCAGGGAAAAATATGCAGAATGGAGATTAATATAATTTGACAAGATAGAATCAAAAGATCGATGACATTCATTTTTTCGGACTTGTTTTTATATGGTAAATATTGTCTTCTAATTTTGGGAATGTTAAATGAAGGTTTTTTTTTTTTTTAAATAAATATATTGGCCTAAATTTTTCTAACATTAAGGATGATCGATTTAATTCATATTTTAGTACCGTTAAATATTGCTAATATTTACTAATATTTCTAGAGCTAGTATTGTCTAGTACTGATGTATATAGTATGAAGGTCAATCAATTTCCATTCATTCTATAAATGGTATTTATCAACTAAACGTCTTTAGATGAAGAAATCCTATTATCAACCATCTTTTAAACATGTAATCTATAAACAAAAATCCAATGTAACATGTGTAAGATGTAACGTGAAGTACGGATCGCACAAATGTTTGAAGTACAACATTTTCTAGTTAACTAGATTTGTATAAATGTATAAACTTTTTGATTATGTTTCTATGAAATCTGAAACTATTAAATTATATTAAATTCAGCCTTCTATGTTTCGATAAACCATGACCAAAACACATAAAATTAGCAAAGTGATACCAGATTATACAGTACGAATTTTACATTAGATAATTCATAGATAATTCATAATTTTAGTTTTACCAGTAATATTATTTCATCTGCTTACAAAATTTTCAATAAAAGGAAGTTAAGATACACTATATGCATACATTATGCCATTATATTTGATTAACTAAATACATATACGGATAGTAAATTTCATATTATGCATATAAAAAAAATAATAGAAATTTAAATTAATATCAGATATTAAATGTTGAATGCTTTTGAATAGGTCATTTTGTTTTGCAGATCTTGGCTCACATCAACCATGTAAACATTAAACGTCAAATTAGTAAATTGATATTTAATTCAGTTTATTAATAGTTTAGTAATGCAGGTTAGATTATTGTTTATATTGTGAGTTTGCGAAGGAAATCCACGTTTTTCAACTACCCTAAGCCCCTAATTAGCAAATCCACACCGATCATTAGGGAACCAATTAAAAATTTTCGACAATAAAAAAAAAAAGAATTTTCTATATTATTTTATTATAAGTAAGTATGTAATTTGTCTGGTTGCACATTGCATCCGCACAATATTAATGATCGTCTATAATTTTTACGCATAGACGTGCGTGACACGTCAAATGTAACCGCGAAAGGTTTCACTCAGAAACATCATAAACATTACTAAGCATAAATCGTTGAGCTACAGGAATATTGCAGAATGTAAATAATAATATTCCTGAATTTACAATTTACTCGACTTTGTAGAAAATGTGAATTTGTAAATTGACTATTGTGTAAACTCGAAATGTTTCAGATTACTTGATAAATGCATGTTTATGAATCTTACCTGGATCAGATTTAAACAATCATGTAAAGGTTCATGAGATTTCTCCTCGCTTTTTTCCTTGACTAAATCTGAAACATGTGTAATGAACGTGCGAGTCCGTTAACAACAATATCAAAAGAAATTCACATTATTAAAAATTTTATCCAAAAAAAAAGGAAATATCTTTCTATAATATATATCGGATATACAAAAAAATTGAGTTCAATCTACATACAAGGACAATGAATTCCTGTGTCGTTATTATCCAAATCCATCTATAAACGATCACTATATAATTTGCAATAAATGTTTATGTAAAGATTTTTCTTTAAAAAACCTTGAAATTCCTGTAGGAAAAATAGAATGTTTGTTTATTACTATGTGTAAACAGACTACAATGTGATAGACAAATAAGGTAATAATCTCGGTAAATTTGGTCCGTTATTAAAATTTCACGTAATCTTATTACTTTGTTTATTCTTTATTTCCTCACATAATTCCCCACAATGTCACTGCCGTTTAAACAAAGCCACTTTGTTTTTGTATCACAGTTTCACCATATGATTTACGATTCTAAGATTAGAATTTGTTTTAAACTTTTAGTGTGATTGGCAATATACCTTAAACGAAAAATCCTAGTCGTTCTGACGCTAGACCATAATAAAATGATTTTCCAATCAGACTTGCATAATAAAATTCGACATATCTCGGTTAAGAATCTAGTAAATTTGACATTTAAATTCTAGGTGTTAATTGGCCACATTCATGCATCTTCGATGTTTATTCGTAAACTTCAATATTTAAACCTTACTAGTTCGCAAAATTAAAGAATACCAAGATTCCAAAATTTAACAGGATTCTTGTCAAGATATCTTTGCTCAAACAATCGTCCGGAGTGTAACGGACATTAATAGAAAAGTGAAATAAAAGTTACGCATTTGATCCACCTCGTAGTAAGTTCATAATTGAGACTTATTTGCTGGGGAGTTTACTTTCCTAATATATAATTAGAATACAGAACAGCAGTTAATAATTAAGAAGAGAGAAATATCAGTCTTAAAAAAACTTTCGCTATTAGATTTGCTGCTATACTGCAGACATGGAATTACGGTGATCTTTACCCACGTACGTCAATTAATGCGGTTTGTAAATTCGATTTTTAGGGAAGTGTCACTTATCACCTAATTTCTTTAATGTGCAGGAGTCAAAATAACCAAATTAGGCCATAAATTTAATATGTGTATTGATTTTTTTAACATGAAACTTTTAAACATTAAAAAAAAGTTTCATATATAAAAATTTTATAAAAAAATTTTTTTTAAAAACCGCCCAGCTATCAAAACATATGAAAGATTTTTGTTTACAAGTTGACCGGCCGGGTTATGAAAACCAATTACAGCTGTTTTCATAAAATCTGGCAAACTTTTGATTCGGATGTAATCATTTCTTGCCAGATTTTCCAGAATTATGAAAACAGCTGTAATTAATTTTGCATGGCCATATATTTATAATTGTAGTATTTCAACTCTTGTATTTTTTTTAAAAAAAAATATAGAGTTCCAATCCGGATAATCCATCGTCCATTTATCCGTATCCGTCATCCATTTATCTGTTTCGGATAATCCGACAGACATTTGGAACTTATCCGGATAAATGGATATACGGATAATGGATAGGAACACACTAATAAAATAACATTGAACAAATTTCAGGCTTTCTTTGATTAAAAATATATACTAGCGCTAGTAATTAATTAATTACTATATATATGAGTGACGAAAAGGGAAAACCTGTAAATCATTTCACATAATAAGTGAAATGATTTACATGTTTTCCTTTTTCGTCACTCATATATTGATTGCTATTAAAACTGAATTTAGTTCGGAGTTTACATTACTTCTACGTAGAACTGTGATCTGCATAATCATGCAATATCTGTCTGTCACGCCGCGTAATCAACCAATAAAAATTCGAACTACATATATTTGATTGTTGGCACAATGTTGTTGAAGATCCAATAAGGTCATTTACTTATGCGTCTTCAAGTCAGGTTAATATAACTAAAATCGGTTATATATTTCATTGATGCGTGTCAGTTTCTGATTACCTAATAAGTAATTGGCTCGAAATGGGTTTTTCTTGGCATTACTTAAATCAGCTCTACTATAATTTACATTATATATTAATATGGCACAACACTCACATGATAAATCCAGCCAGTGTTATGCATATAAGCCCCCTAACCTTAACTCTAGCGCCAATTCTGGTCATTGTTGCATCTGAAATGTTGTGTTCATAACTTTTCTTTATTAATATAGATATCAGCTATATAATTATAAATTAATTTTATATTAAGAATTTGACCGAACTGGATAATACCTTAAAGCAAATACTGGAGCGGGATGACTATATTACAAACTTCGCAGAAACCTATATAAATTTAATAAATAAATGTATAGTTGTCATGGCAGTAAACTTAAGTTCAATGATCTACAATCTTTTTTCCTAAAATAATCCTCATATCGCTATGTCGCGAAGGTGCAACCATTTCCCTGTTTCAATTGAGAGAAAATTTTGGACGAATAAACCAAATAGTTTTTAAGTATCCGTTCACAAGACCTTTTTTTATTACATTAATATAGAAATTAATATCATTTGATTTTTTTGATCATAAAACAATCCCATTTAATGACTATGTGGTTTACGTGTTGTACTAAGTGTTGTTAATATTATTAAAAACAATCATCAATACGGCTAAGTCAAATTGGAATATTAGTATTGTCCCTATTTAAGACCGCGTGGTTAACGTTAGAGCAGGATAATACCTAACACCAAATCAACAAAAGAATAACAAAAGAATAACAAAAGTGATTTTGTCATTGACAATCATAACCAATAGACATACTGTATATGCCTATTGCTATGCACACATATGAAGTAATTAGACCCATATTTAAGAATTCAGAATCTATTGATAAGACACTATTCAAAACGATAGTAATATTTGTAATAAAATGCCTTATGTATTAATGTATTAGTGTATTAAAGTTTAATACTTAAGAAATGGCAGTGTTATTATAGTAACATATAATAAGTCATAATGAAAAATTAACAGTTGATATACGTACGAATACGTAAATAGAATGCGTAATTTTTGTTGTAAGTTTATGTGGTCATACAACTCAGAGTAAGACAAGATATTATTATTACTAATCTTCGTTGTAATAAATGTACTTCGTTCTTAAATTTATTTGCATTCATAGAAAACAATAAGTTATATGTCTTTTTGCAACTAAACTAAAATTTTGTCTAAATATAATACTAAACACGTAAAACAACATCTATGTCGAATTTAATAATTTGCATAATTCCTTTTTTATTAAAATTCAACAAATGTATGAGTTACCTATCCTTGAATATTATTATTGGCCAGTATTGTACGTTATGAGTTGGACGTTCTTGAATATTATGATTGGCCAGTATTATACATTATGAATTGAACATTCTTGAATATTATGGATTAACCATTTTTAAATATATTAAAACATTCTTAAATACTGCGGGATGGGTTTATCTTTCAAGTTTGGTATGATCATCCACTTAAAAATATGTATAAAAGATGTATGGTTTCATAATGATGCACATGCGCGTCCCGAAATAACGCAGTAAATTTGTAAGAGGTATGCAATTATATCTGCTAATATGCTAAAACGTAGTGTTGATTTATATATAGTCTAAAATTAGCTTTTAATTTCGAAATAACGCAAATGTGCGTACTCGAAATAACGCAGATGGACGTTATTACTCTACAAAAAAAATTGGTAATTAAGCATGTCAAGAAATAACCGAAGTCATTTTTCAATTGGTCGATAAAATTTAAAAAATCATGCGTAACATAGTTTCACCAATTGGTGTGCTGTAACATGGTCTTTCAACCTCAACATCACATATTTTAAATTCTCTCAAATTTTACTTTCTCTTCCTTTTTGAACGCTTAATCTTTTTGTTTATTACCTTTTTTTTCAATTATTATAAAACGCTCCCATGTATGTGTTTTGAACCTATTATATGTTTTTATTATGTATTTTAAATTTTCTAAATTTTTATAAGTTTCATTATAAAAATTTTTGACTTAAATTAAGGTTAGTTTTTAAGTTAGTATTAGGGTTTGGGAAGGGTTCTCAGGGGTGTGGAACATTTTTACTTAGAACACCTCGTATTGATTAATTGGCCAGTTTTTGAGATAATGCATGCATAGGTGTAAAACACCATAGGTGTGTTTTAGTAAAATTCTTTTTTTTTTTTTTTGTTTTAGATGATTTGTTTGTCTCGAGAAGGTTCCAAAAAATTATTGTACAAAATTATTGAAAGCGATTACACTTTCAATATTGATATAAAATATATCCAAGGCTCATTATAATAATACTGATAGTTCTTGGAATTTTCCCTGTTTAGCCAACGAAAAACTTTGAACACGCGATGATGATATACTCATTATTGTTAAAAAATATGTTTCTCAAAAAAATTTGTTTGAGAACCTTAAACTCTTCTAATAAAAAGTTTTCCTTGAATAATTTTACTATCCAAACCTTAAATTCTATATATTATTAGAATTCAGCGTTAAACCACTTATTAAGTAGGGACGTACCGCATACCATACGATTCTGATTAGTAACAATTAAATATAAGATAATAACTCCTAACTATCGGATCGTGTCATCTTAAAGCCAACCAGGGTTAGACTCAGGTTTGCAAATTTGCGAATTTTAAATGTTAATAAGTAACAACGATTGGAATAGATCGATTATAGACTTTAAAGATTATTCCAAGTTATATAATCTTTCAATATGACTCATAATGATACGTTTTTAACTGATAATGCCACCAAATTATGCGGATTTACCACTGTTTTAAAAAAGATGTGGAATGCGATTTCCATATACCCATGTATGGGTCTTGAAAACTCCGAAAATCCGGGAAATATCGGAATAGACAGGGAAATTTTAAACAATGATTTCCTAGTCCATTCCCCATATATGAAAGTTCTAGTGAATTACAAATTGTAGCTCTAAATAAATCATATTTAGCTCAATAAATCGACACTTAAAGAGATTTGCGAAAATCAGCTCTTCCACAAAAAATTGTAATTTGATCAGTCGAATCTCAGGATCAAATGTAACGTAAAGATCGAAACGAACACACTTTTTTACAAAAAAAAAGCAAGAATAGCTTTAAATTTTAGTTAGGAAGCAACATTCTGCGGCCTAATTAAAATTTTTTCTTGTGAAAATTTACCAATTGACGCTGTTTTTCTAATCCCAACCTTAACTATAACATGGATTTCTTTAATTTTACACGCAACTTGTTTAACTATCACGTTACACTTGATCATAAGTTTTGATTGGTCAAAATTACATGGCCGACCAATTTTTTTGTGAAAACAAAAAAAACCAAATTGACAGGTGACCAAAAAAGTCGTTGCATAATATCTTAAACAAGAAACGTTGTGTAAAATGAATTAATGTTAAAATGAAGATCTTCAATTCAGTGGTTTAATTTAAGATGGACACTTCATTCTTATTATTCAAATCCTATAATCATAATGCCAATGAAGATATTGTTATCAAAATTCATGTGGGTGATATTGAAAAAATGCATGATGCTGGAAACATTATGCCCGACATGAGTCTCTCGGAAGTGCGTAAGCTTCTTGAACATAAAAGTGGCATTTATATGAGCGACAATATGAAATTCCTAAACTATAACCGACAATATAAAGTATGTGAAATTCTTGAAGAAGAATATAAAGTATCTAAAATTCTTGACCAAAATAATTGCATTCATATCCTTGAAGACCCAAGCATGCCGGGTTTGTTCCAATTTATTAATAATCATCATCTTTTTCGTGGGCGTTATGTCACATCTGACTGTATGGAGCTTAAAATCGCTCAACAAGATGCATTTAAATTTAAAACGAATCGTAAAATTTCTCAAGATTCGAATATTGTTCTCATGGAAAATTTCTATATACCAAAAAATCTTTTCTCGACAAACAATGCCTCAGATATATTTGGTATCAAAAAGCTTTTCAAGAAAAAAAACTGTGAATTTGATATTTTAGAGAAATGTAAAATAATTATCAAGCCTTATGAAATTGAACCAACCGAAAAGTTTAAAGATGCCATTAAGGAGGCCTTGGATCAAAAAACTGACGAATTAGTATTTAATAAAATTAATCAGTTATCTGAGAAATTTGGAGATTTTTGTAAGAATTATTTACAAAATTGACAAGATTTTATTGTGATTAAACATTAATTATTACAAATTTTATTTTTTTTAGTGCTTTTAGAAACTAAATTTGGTATTATAGTTGATTCTAATAGCAACACGTCTACCAATAGTGAGAAAATTCGAATTGCTTCGAATAACATAGACGATCATAATAATTGGGGACTTATTGGTTATTTGAAAACTGTATCCGTTTATGAATTGTTAGATGAATTTTTGGATGCTGAATTAAAAATGAAATGTCTTAAAGCGATTGAGCAGAAAACGCATCATTTTATGAAACAATACTACATGAGAAAGGTTACACGTAAATCTTTTGAGCAAGGCAAGTTTTGTAAAACATTAAAACATTATGGTCGGATTCTTGAAAACTACCAGGATAATCTTGAAAATCAAAAACATGCTTCAATGTGGTGGGATCTTTCTTATAATAGATGTGGGCCGGAAAAAATAAATGAGTTGACAAAGGCACTTTGCAAGAATACAACGTTAACCTCTTTGGATCTTAAAAGTAACGAACTTGGATCAAAAGAAGGAAAAGTATTAGCAAATACACTTTGCAACGACGCTACGCTAAAAGAATTAAATCTTGGTTATAATAACTTTGATTCAGAAGGAGGAAAAGCATTAGAAAATGCACTTTGCAAGAACACCACGCTGACTTCTTTGAGTCTTTATTCTAATAACCTTGGATCAAAAGGAGGAAAAGCATTAGCAAATGCACTTTGCAAGAACACCACTCTGACTTCTTTGGATCTTTGGGACAATAATCTTGGATTAGGAGGAGGAAAAGTATTGGCAAATGCACTTCGCAAGAACACTACGCTGAAAGATTTGAAACTTGGTTATAATAACTTTGGTTCAAAAGGAGGAAAAGCATTAGCTGATGCACTCTGCAAGAATGCCACGCTGATTTCTTTGGATCTTGGTTATAATGACCTTGGATCAGAAGGAGGAAATGCATTAGCAAATGCACTTTGCAAGAACACCGCGCTGACTTTTTTAGATCTTAAAGAAAATGATATTGGATCAGAGGGTGGAAAATCATTAGCAGATGCACTTTATAAAAACACCACGTTGACTTCTTTAAATCTTAGTTGGAATAAACTCGGATCAGAAGGTGGAAAAGCATTAAAAGATGCACTTAGCAAGAACGCTATGCTGACTTTTTTGGATCTTAGGGAGAATAATCTTGGATCAGAAGGTGGAAAAGCATTAGCTGATGCACTTTACATGAACAACGCATTGACTTCTTTAAATCTTGGATCAAATAATCTTGGATCAGAAGGAGGAAAAGCGTTAGCAGATGCACTTTATAAGAACAATACGCTGATTCGTTTGAGTCTTTACGGTAATAGCCTTGGATCAAAAGGAGGAAAAGCATTAGCAGATGCGCTTTGCAAGAACACTACGCTAGCTTCTTTGGATCTTAGTTCGAATAATCTTGGATTCGAAGTAGAAAAAGCATTAGCAAATACACTTTGCAAAAACTCCACGCTGACTTCTTTACATCTTAACGAGAATAATATTGGATCAGAAGGTGGAAAAGCATTAACAGATGCGCTTTGCAAGAACTCCACGCTGACTTCTTTACATCTTAACGAGAATAATCTTGGATCAGAAGGAGGAAAAGCATTAACTGATGCACTTTGCAAGAACGATACCCTAAAAAAATTGTATATTGCTAGTAACGATATTAATTTTATTATAAAATCTAATAATCCATGCATCTATATAAATCAATAAATTGTATATAACACAAATGTAAACGTGATTATGTAGCTCAATTTACAATTAATAATCAATAAAGTTAAATTTAAAGTATTGGATAAATATTTTTACACACTTAGTTTAACCATATTACTCATCATTAGTGTGTGCATGAAAAAAAGAGTGACAAAAACTAGTTGATCACATCTATAGTTCAGCTTGTCCTCATCCATATCACTAGATTTCAGTTTAAAATACCTTTTGAGAATGTAATGTTTCACTGACGAAAAATCACCAAACTGTATTGTCGCGAAATAACGAGAATGAGCGTTATTTAGAATAATGGCCCGAATTAAGCTTAATTTAGGCCGAAATTTGTAATTTCACCCCTGCGCATTATTTCGCGACAATACGTTAAAGAAATTGCTAGCTTCTAAAAAAAAACATTACTGTTAATATTCACTACGCAAACTATTTATATTAGCATTGTGGTGGATTAAAATGAAATCAGATTTAAAATTTTGAGATGCATTTTTTTTAGTTTTTTTTTAAGGTTAAAGAACAACTTTAGGGGGTAAAATTTATATTAAACAAGTATAAGTAGGTTTTAAGAGGTAAATAAAAACCTCCAATTTTACTTTAATCCGATTTCATTATGATCCGTGAAAATAATTAGATTTGTGATTAAATTAATACTAGCAGAACTATATCGTTTATTTGATTTAAACCACACTTATGCTTAATCAGTAATTTAAATTTTACAAAATTAATTGTATAAACATATAAACATTGATATTATTGTAAACGTTACTTTCTCAAAAAGTCGTATCGAAGTTACTTGATGACTGAGCTAAGCAAACAAATCAGACAAATGTTTAATTATAAGTCATTAATAAATATTGTTCGTATTTTAAAGTCAGAAAAATTGTTATGAAAACATCGAGGTTAAGCTTAAATAAAAGATTATTCTTGTCAACATATTGCACAATTAACTTTTGGCATCGTTACTAATAAAAGTTTAGAATCAGAAAAATAACTTCTGAACAAGGAAATTAAAGCTTTGTTGAACATAAACGTGAAAGATCCAACTATGTTATATTTTAAAAAGAAAAGTTAGATCTTTACATTTCGAATAATAATAATTGATTTTGGGTCAAAATCCTGAAAAACAGATTCCCGAAAGAACATAACACGGCCAGCATTATAACTAGTGCCGGCTAACTTTGTCGGTATTATGTTCTTTCGGAAATCTGGTTTTCAGGATTTTAACCCAAATTCATAATAATTTTATCATAATCTCAATTATCATAACCTTTATTGAAGATTTGTAACTATATAAATAGTAAATCACCACTTAAAGTTAACCAAACGATATTTTAATTCATACATAGGTATTAATATTAAGTTATTAAAAAACACGTCGAATGGAATATGGGCCAGTACAAGAAAAATGAGGTTTAGAGACATTTGTAATAAAAATTGAGGTTTTTACCAGGTTATATTTTTAAATATGCGATTTATTCACAGCAAATTTTTTTAGCCCGCATTTACAGCAGAGATAGTAAAAGTGAATCCCTCTCGCCTGTGATCAATTACAAATTAAATTATTTCAATTGATGGATATAATCCCTCACCAGTTTTAATATATGTGTAACATCAACGGTCTCTGCTGTTGCCCGCATTAGCATAATAAAATTTTGTACAACTTTGTACGCAGTATTTTTTATATTTCAAATTTAATTGATTAAATATTGATACTATAAATAAAAATTTGTCTCATAGTGCTTTTTTAACCAGTAAATAAATTATTGATTATTTCATTAAGCATGATACACCAACTTGATACATTTAAATTAAAATGTAATTACACAAAATTTTACATATTAATTTGCAATTAAAAAATAAATATATTTAATATTTGAAGATTTATAAAACAATTTATAGAATAAATTAAATTAATTTTTGATTGCATATTGTTTGAAAAAGATCCAAGCTGGTTAATTTTTTTTTAAAAAATTAGAAAATTAAAATTTTTTAATATATTTATAAATTGACTGATTACAACTAAATATTTTTTATATTATTATACAAGTACAGTTGTACCTGGGTTATATCTTCACTGAACTAAATTCCAATTTTAATTATATCACTATTTTTTAACAAACTGAATTTTCTATCAGTTACAGGACATATCCTTTTATAGGAGTTTCAAATAGTTGTTTATATAATAATTTAAATGTCAATCATTTAATTTTTATATAAAAATTTTATTCTTGCAAAAGAATTTTTCTATGACAAATTCAAATTTGTAAAACAATCTGATTATCATCTTTTAAATCAAAAATATAGCTTGAATATAGTTCAATTAAATTACAAAGTTTTAATTTTTAACTTTTTCTAGTTTGAATAAAATCTTTAGTTGAATCTTAAGTATACTAACCCTTATAATACATATGATTCTAATCAATTTTATGTCAATAACCTTCTAACCCTTATAATACATATGATTCTAATCAATTTTATGACAATAACCTTCTAGACAGTTCAATTTCTTCAATTTTATTTTCTTAATAGTATAATTTCTTAGTAATCTATACAGTTTTGAACAATTTTATAATCTTTAATAGTTCATAATTTTCTTAACTTACAACACAGTTCTGATCAAATTTATAATAACCTTTTGACAACTCAATTTTAATAAAATTTTTTATGAATTTTCTGTTTTTTTCTTAGTTTTTGCTTTATTATAATCTTTGGTTCAGGATGATCTGAATAAGTACTATTTTTTTAGTTATTTATTATTTTTATTTTTGTACTTCTTATAATTAATTTTCTTGAATATTTTATTATTTTAATCTGGCTTACATTTTAAAGATTTTGTTTTTTCTTCATAAACTGAGTTTAAAGACTTTGAAAATTGTAGATAAGTATTTTATACTTCTTTTTTTTCTTATTTTCTTATTTACTAAGTTTATGGTTTTCTTTAAATTTATTTGTTTAGATCTTTAGATAAGATACTAAGAACTTCTGCTAGTATTTTTTCTTTTCAGCTTTCAAATATAAGAAAATATTTATATTTTTATCTATTATTGCTTTTTGTTTTAATTTCTTTAATACTAACTATTTTTCTTTTAACTATACTAAAATGGATCATAACAATATAAGAATCAGATAATTGGATGTTCTTTTAATTACAATAGAATATGTTTCTAAACAGGCTTTATTTTAAAAAGAGCTTTTAAAATAAGTAGTAGATTTTTCTTTTTATTGCAATTTTTGTTCTCTGAATGTTTTACTAATAATATTCTTTTTTTATTTTAAAATACCAGAACAGAACTTAAGAAAATGAGCTTTTTGGTAAATAAAACATAAAGCATTAGACTTTGGTTAGGCATAGTTAGTAGAGTAAATTGCTTATATAAAAAAGAATAAAAGTATAAATATAAATATAATTCTTTTATTTTGTTTTTATTTTTTATTTTTTGTATTCTTTTACTAACAATTCTTTTACTATAAAGATATTGTTGTGAAAACAAAATAAATAGATGTTAAACAAAGTATAATACAATTAAATAAATTAAATTACAATCATAATATGATAATTGTGATTATAATAATAAATAGTTTCATAATTTGTATAGTCTTGTGCTATTGTTATATATATGATAATTTCTACTTTGTCACAATAGTTATTATAGAATAAAAACATATTATATTAAATAAAATATATTTGATATATATAAAATTATTTATATGAGATGTAGTAATTTAGTGAAATAAATAAGTTATCAATCTTCCAAATAATAAGTTGGATGTTCAAATTTTATCAATAATAAAAATTTAAATAATTAGTTATATAATATTTATATTATAGTAATTGTTTCTAATAATTAGATTAAAATACCTGTAATAATAATTATACTAGTATAACTAGCAGGTTATAAGGTATTTGTATAACAGATTATACAAAAAAATGCAAACTGGCATCAGGTAGTGCAAACTCTAGATAAGTTTTTGTAGCTGTATAAATCTGTTAGAATTAAGAACCAAAAAGTTCATTTGAGAAGACCTAAATAGAAAGATAATATAGATTTTTAATAGCTTTACTGTAAAGTTTAGTCTATTAGAAATAGATATCAAGATCATAGTATCTAACCAAACAAAAATCTCTAGATTGGGAGTTTTAAAAATACTACCAACTAGGTTGCTAGAATAAAACAAAAAAAATGTTAAGAAGATCTAATATACTAATAAACTGGTCATAGTTCTATACAAGCTATCAGAATTGGGAGGCTAATAAAAGGCAGAGATATACTAAAATACTAGGAATATGCTGTAAAGTAGATGTTGAGGTTTGAATGAACTCTATAAAAGTATAGTACTTAAATAATATAATTTTAATTACAAGTATTAGTTTTGTCATAGTAATATCAGATTAGCTATAAAAATGAGTGCAGGAGGTTTACTTTAAAGATAAAATAGTTTTAAGGTTGAGACAATGGCCTGAACATGATTTAGTAATGTTAACACAGATGCAGATTCAGAGAGTTAAAATAGAACTTCAAGCAGAGGTGTTAGATACAACAATTAGTAAAAAATCTTTAAGCAAATTTTTTAAATTAGTAATATAAAAAAGTTATATATATAGCTAATTGTATACTCTTTTTGTGTAATTTATAAAATCAAATTATCAAAAAAGTTATTAATAAAAGTCAAAAGACCAAAAAGATCACCTTAATACTAAAAAAAAAATTATTTATTTTATTTCTTTATTCAAAATATTGTATTAAATAAAGTTTTCAAATTTAAATATATAAAAATTATTTATTTTTTTGTTTAAAATTGATTGTATAATTTTTTTTTACAAAATAATAAAACATAATATTATTAATAAAGTTATATATCTTTCTTCAAAGTAGCATATATAGTTTCAATATAATATAGAATCTTATAAGATTACATATCAAATTCTTTATTTTATTTGATTTTTTGATGCAATGAATTCTTTGTAAGTTAGCTAATCAATAAATGTTACATTATGTTAAAAATTAGTCTTTGTCTTAAATAATATACATATATAAACTTAGTAATATATATATATTTGGCATATTCAAAATAATATATAAATAAATATTATTATATTAAAATACAGATGCTTGATAAATTAAGTCATTGTACAATTATTATGATGTTTGAAAAGATTTTACTCAAATAACTATTCTTTGTTCTTTTAATATATTTATAAATATTTTATATGATAATGTCTTTGTTTTGACAAATAGCTTAAAAATAAAAAGATATCTTAAAGACCAACCAAATTACTATTTTTTTCTTTATATAAACAGAAATACAATTAGTAATATAAATGTATATATAAAATAATATCAAAATTTGTAAAAAGATATAAATAGTCTTATCATTCTGAACATTAATTCTTGCTAAACATAAATCTTGCAATATATTAATATTATATTTTTTAAAAACAAATTATAGTTGTATTGCTTAATTTACAAAACTATTAAATAAATTATATCTATTACTCAGTTTATATTTTTTTTATAAAATAATATGTTTAAACAAAATAACTGATTTTGAACTCACTTACTTAGAAAAATTTGACATTTTAGAAGAAAATTACTTGACACTTTAGAAAAAAATATGAAAAAACTTTTACTATCTATTTAATAATTTTTGAAAATATACAAGCCTTACTACATAATAATAAAAGTAAAAATATTTAAATAGATGAAGTTGAATCTGTAAATTCCAACTTCTCTAAAAAACTTTTTCAAATAATAAATAATAAAATAGATGTAGAAATTGAAGAAATTTCTAAATAAATTCCAAATTTAATACTATGTATAATTATATATATTAATTATAGTAAAATAAAATGCTATAATAGTAATACAAATTTGTGATAATTATAATAATTAGTAGGAACATAAAAAATAAATACATATATAGTTAAAAATATTCAAAAAAATAGTAAGACAAGTATACAACATTTATAACAAGCAGTAGAAATATAAAAGAATGTATATATATTTGATTAACTTGATGTATATTATAATTATTTTTTATTTGATTAAAACTAACTTTATAATTAAGACATAAACAAGAAAGTTCAGTTAATAAAAGTATAGTTCATTTTTATATTTGTCTTTTTTGTAATAAAAATAAATATTTTTTTAGCTATAACAATTATTATACAAAACATTCTTAAAACATCAATAAACAGAATATTTATGTATCTTGTATTAGTATTTATAACTATTCTGTATTTTCTGAAAACTATATTATTAAAAAATCATCTTTTGGCTATTATGCATATTACATTTGTATAGAATGCTTTTATCAAAATAGTAGGCATTTGTATAAAAGGTCTAATAAACTTAAACAATTTTAATTATATAAATTTGAAAAATATTATAATGTTTCTAGTAATACTCTAAGACTTATTAAAAAATAGATAGTATTAGTTGCATATTCAGATGATTACAAGCAATAAGAATGATCTTTATTTTATATATTTCTGAT